GAGTGCAATGGTGCGATCGCGGCTCACCGCAACCTCCGCCTCCCGGGTTCAGGCAATTCTCCTGCCCCAGCCTCCTGAGTTGCTGGGATTACAGGCACGCGCCACCACGCCCAGCTCATTTTTGTATTTTTAGTAGAGACGGGGTTTCACCATGTTGACCAGGATGGTCTCGATCTCTTGACCTCATGATCCACCCACCTTGGCCTCCCAAAGTACTGGGATTACAGGCGTGAGCCACCGCGCCCGGCGGTGTCTTGCTTCTTAACCACTCTGCCTCTCTCTCTGCTTTCCTCGACCCCACAGAAGCAGTGCTCCTAGCTGGGATGGGGTAGACCCCCACACTAGCTGAGTTTTGTAATCAAAGAAGCTGCCTTCTCAGGGCCACCTTCTTGGGCACAGCCTGCAGGTCAAAGGAGATGGGAGTTTTGAGGGGAGAAGGGAGCACGACTGAGCTGGAGGAGACCCTAGGTGGGCCCATGTCCCAGCAACTTGTATCTGGCCTGCCTCCCCATCAGGCGTGAATGAGGTGGATTACTGCCTGTACCCGGCGCGGGAGACCCAGCTGCAGTGGCTGCACTACTACCTGCAGGCACAAAGGGGAATGGCTGTGACCCCCAGGGAGGTGGAAAGGCTCTACGTGCAAGTCAACAAGTTTGCCCTGGTGAGTGCCTTGTGACTAGGGCTGGGGCAAGAAAGGAGGAGTCAGCAGGAGGGGCTGGTGACCCACCTAACCTCCTACCCAGAGCCCAGAGCTAGGTGAGAGCCTGGGGACACCCATCCCCGGCTCCTGACCCCACCCTAGAGGTGAAGCCTGGGAAGAGCCCTCTTAGGCAGCCCTTAATACTTGATGCCCTGTTCCCTGCTCCCCCAGCCCCACCAGATCTAGGCTGTCTTCTCTCTAGAGAAACTTACAAGAAATAGCCTAGCTTCCTATGTTAGCAATTCCCTTGTTTGAATAAGTAGTTCTTTCTACTGTCTAACCTCAGCCCTTCATGCTGCAGTCAAATTCATCCATATACATATATACACACTTTTTTTTGAGACAGGGTCCCACTCTATCGCCCAGGCTGGAGCACAGCGACACAATCATTGCTCACCGCAGCCTTAAACTCCTGGGCTCAAGCGATCCTCCCACCTCAGCCTCCCGAATAGCTAGGACCACAGGTGTGTCCCACCACCCCTGGCTAATTTTTTAAAACTTTTTGTAGAGATAGGGTATTGCTATGTTGCTCAGGCTGGCCTTTCACTCCTGGCCTCAAATGATCATCCCACCTCAGTCTCTTGAGTAGCTACAGTTACAAGCATGAGCCGCCACGCCTGGCTGTGTGTGTGTGTGCATATATATTTTAACCTTTAGAGAAGACAGAGCATGTCAAGCTCTAATCCTTCTTTGAACTACCTCCACTGACTCAGAACTCTAAGTAAGCTTTTCCCAACAGGCTCTTCCTGCTCAAAGGACTGTGCTGTCACTTCTTAGTTCCGAATGCTCCTTATCCAAGGCACCTGGTCATGCCAGGGCTCCACTGGTGTGTACTCAGGGATTTCTAACTAGTCTCATTCATGTCAGCTGTGCGTAAGTAAGAAGACAAGTCAGCTGCCTTGAATTTCACAGTACAGAAGAGAGCTAAATAAAATCTTTATTTTTCTGTAATTTCAGATTCCCTATTCTGTTTTCCTCACTGACACAAAACTGATTCTACATTAGGCTCTTCCTCCTCAGTCTTAAGACTTTAAGACCTTAAGAACAAGCCTTCCTCTTGCTTAGTTTTTTAGTGATCGTTCATACATGCTAGCTTACTATGCCCCTTTTAAATACTGGAAAGGAAATAAAGTGTAGCCAACCCCTGAGTGGGGAGGAATCTGGGATGGGGTGGGAATGGGGTGGGAGAGCCACAAGGGTGGGGGCACTCACGTGGGAAAGTGATGGCATCACTGGTGTTTGTTCAGGGGTAGATGGGAACCACAGCTCCCTGGCTTTCTTTTTTTTAACTTTTATTTTAGGTTCAGAGGTATACATGCAGGTTTGTTACACAGGTAACCTGCAAGTCACTGGGGTTTGGTGGACAGATTCTCTCATCACACAGGTCATAAGCATAGTGTGCGACAGGTCGTTTTTCAGTCCTCACCCTCCTCCCACCCAGTTCCTGGCCTGGTGGGTACCTCCAGCCACGAGGGGAGCACAGTTTGGTGCTCAGCAAATGCCCAGACTTGGGGGTTCTTGTTTCCATATCTAGGTTCATTTTTCCAACCCAACCAGTCTCCCAGTAGGAGGGAGGGAAAGGAGTGGAGGAGGTTAGTGTAGGGATCTTCCAGCAGACATGTGGTCAGGGCACTGCTGCCCATTGCTCTTTCTTCCCTGCACCTTCCTGAGGGGCACCAGCCCCCACTGGCCATTAGGCCTAAGCTCTGGCTTAGAAGTCCATCTTGGCCTGGATACCTTGCCCTTGAAGACTACAAGAGATTCCCCTGGGTAGGGAAGAGGCCAGAGGTGGCGTGTAGGTCCTGCTTAGGTTGTGGGCACCCCCTGAAATTCCTCACTGCTGACTACCTGCCTGAGGGTTGGTGAACACCAGGGCCTTGGTAGAACTGGTCCTGCCCACCTTTCTCTAATAAGAGTGGAAGCTCCAAATGCTGTGCAGTGACTTGGGCTCCAGAATTTCCCCAGCCTGTGCTGGGGAGACCCCACCACATCTCATCCAGGGTCCTAGCTGTGTGTCTTCCACAATGACTGCATCCCTGCAGCTCTGTAGAGTCAGAAGGAGGCATGGAGAGATTGCCAGGCTGACCCTCTCTGGTCTGTTTCCAGGCGTCTCACTTCTTCTGGGCTCTCTGGGCCCTCATCCAGAACCAGTACTCCACCATCGACTTTGATTTCCTCAGGTGAGTGCGGGGGTGATGGCGGGGTGTGGACAAAAGGGAGAGCCTTGGTTGAGCCGAGGGTGCAGGCAAAGGACAGCCCAGGCAGAATGCCCAGAGTCCGCTCCCCTGCTCTGCTGACTCGCCCCCATTCCAGCTGACGGTCCAGCTCATCTCCAGCAGAGCCATTGGCCCCAGGGAATGCCAGGAAAGTGCCACGCTGAAAAGAGAAGTGTCACACCCTCCCTGTGCCTCGTAGGAGGTCTGCTAGTCCCCATTGCCCACTCCCCGCCCTGCTGCCAGCGCACCTATCCATGGAGCCTGGTGGTGGATGGAATCGTTGAAAATCAGTCTGAACGATCGCAGGTCCTACCCTCGTTTTACAGCAGAGAGGACAGAGGTCCGGAGAGTGGAAGTGACTTGCTGAAGTCATGCGGCGGTTAAGTGTTACCATGCTGCCTTCTGGTTGGGTGACAGACCCAGCTACTCCTTCAGTGACTCCTAACATATATAGCTAGCCGCTGCTTGCATATTGATGATTCAGGGGGTCCCTGTCCTGTGAGGTTCCTATGTCCTGAAGGACCAGGAATCATTTCTTCCTCTATTCCAGTCCAGGGCCTTGCCCTTCTCCTCCTCACCTACCTTCAGCTGAAAGGGAATCACTACCCTGTCTTCAAAGTGTTCACAAGAGAAATGCACATGAAAAGCATGGTGAGATGTCGCCTCACCCCATTAGGATGGCCGCTATTAAAAAAACAGGAAATAAGAATTGTTGGTAAGGATGTGCAGAAATTGGAACCTTTCTGCATCGTTGGTGGGAATGTAAAATGGTGAGCTACTGTGGAAAACAGTACGCTGGTTCCGCAAAAAATAAAAATGTAACTTCCCTATGATCCAGCAATCCCATTTCTGGGTGGGTAGCCAAAATAATTGAAAGCAAGCTCTCAAAGAAATATTTATATACCTGTGTTCATAGCAACATTCTTCTTGGCACAGTAGCCAAGAGATGGAAGCCACCCAGATGTCTGTCAACAGATGAATGAATAAATAAAATATGGTATATACATACAATAGAATATTACTCAGCCTCAAAAATGAAGAAAATCTGGTCACTTGCTACCACATGGATGAACCTTGAGGACATTATGCTAAATAAGCCAGTCACAAAAGGACAAATATCGTTCTCTAAGAGATAACGAAAGTAGTCAAATCCATAGAAACAAAGTAGAGTTGTTGCCAGGGGCTGGGGAGAGGGAAAAATGGGGATATTGCTTCATCCATCTAGTTTCCGTCGTCCAAAATGAAAAAGTTGTAGAGATTCATGTGCACAGCAATATGCATATACTTACCAATACAGAACTGTAAAACAAAACTCCAAACAAGCATGTTTGTGGAAGCGTTGCTCTAGTCTGATATAAGAAGAAAAAATTATAGTTGAAGTAAAAAAAAAAAAAATAGGCTGGGCACAGTGGCTCACGCCTGTAATCCCAGTACTTTTGGAGGCCAAGGCAGGCAGATTCCTTGAGCCCAGGAGTTTGAGATCAGCCTGGGCAACATGGCAAAACCTCGTCTCTACAAAAAATACAAAAATTAGCCAGGTGCGGTGGCATTCACCTGTAGTCCCAGCTATTCTGGACGCTGAGTGGGAGGATCATCTGAGCCCGGGAGGCAGAGGTTTCAGTGAGCCAAAATTGTGCCATTGCGCTCCAGCCTGGGTGACAGAGCCAAACCTGTCTCAAAATAAATAAATATTAAAAGTAAAAAAAATAAGGCTGGGCACGGTGGCTCACACGTATTGTAATTCCAGCACTTTGGGAGGCTGAGGTGGGAAGATCACGAGGTCAGGAGATCAACCATCCTGACTAACAAGGTGAAACTCCATCTCTACTAAAAATACAGAAAAGAAATTAGCTAGGTGGGATGGCGCATGCCTGTAATCCTAGCTACTCCAGAGGCTGAGGCAGGAGAATCTCCTGAACCAGGGATTGGGGGTTGCATTAAGTCGAGATTGCGCCACTGCATTCCAGCCTGGCAACAGAGCGAGACTCGGTCTCAAAAAAAATAATAAATAAAAATTAAAAAGAAATAATAATACTAACCAGTCTGGTTTGGGAATGACCTCCCCAGACCTAGATAGGCTTAGAGCCGGTGAGAAACTTCCCTCACAATGTGAGCACCCCCAGCACAGCCCACCTGCCTTCCTTCCTCACACCCAGCTTCCTTCTGTCTTCCCCCAGGTACGCAGTGATCCGATTCAACCAGTACTTCAAGGTGAAGCCTCAGGTGTCAGCCTTGGAGATGCCAAAGTGACCAGCCACCCCATCGCTCCCCACCCATCTTTCTGGCCAAACCTGTTCCCCAGAGCTCAATTCTGCGCTCTGGGGTCCACATCCATGGACAAGGTGGGAGAGGGGACAGGTGGGTGTCCAGGGAGAAGGCTCTGTCCCTGCTGCCAGCCCCCCGTGGTGGCCACTGAAGACCTCATTCTCCTGTCCGGAGGGGCTGACAGGACCCACTTCTGGGAGTCCCCTCCCACCAGGCTTGGGAGGAAGTGCCTGCAGCCAGGGCCTGGGCCATAACCACCCCTGGGAAACATCATTCCCAGACTCAGGCCCTGCTGGAATTGGGGCTGCCTTACATGTGTCTTTACCCCTTCCTGGCCTGGGGAAGGAGGCGGGGAGGGCTCCTTTCTACCTCCAGTGCCCTGAGCCTCCAAACCGTCTCCCCCGGCATGCCCCATGTGGGAGGTGCTGAGCTCCAAACCAGCATCACGCCAACCCTGACACATGGATGTACATATCTTGGTGATGGGTGGGGGCCAAGAATTGAGCATGACAGCTCCCCCAGCAGCCACCTCATCTGAGACCCTTCACCTTCTCCAAACCGGATCCAATCAAACGACCTCTTCCCAAACCTCAGCCCCAGGAAACAGGCTCCCCAACGTGCTCTCCTGTGCTTGTTCTGTTCCCCTGCTGGGGGGACAGGAGAGGGAGTGGTAAGGCCCTGGGCCTCTAGAGCCTGGCTCTGCTTCATGCTATGGCTTGGCCGGAGGGGACATGGCCAAGGATGAGGTGGCCAAAACCAGAACCAGCAGTCTCCTGCCTTGTTCCCTCCCTGGCCTCAAGGCCTCCTTCCAGGGATGCCTCTCCAGCTCTACCTTATGTCCTGAAGCTGACCTGAGGTCTTCCTATCTGGGAATGACTAGTGGGAGCCAAGAGGATGGGGTGGGGGCCAGGGTCCCCCAGGACCCAGCGTGGGAGGCTGGGCAGGATCCCATCAGAAAGGTGCTGACTGGGCTGGTCGCCCGGACGCTGAACAGCCTCCACCTCCTTTCGGCCCTCACAGCTCCTTGGGCCCTTCTGGCTCTGGCCCAGAAAGTGATTCATTTGTAAATTATCATGATTTCTGCATTAAAATGCTCATTTCCGGACTGCTGTGGCTGAGTGGCAATGGTGAGGAACTGACCCCTGCCTGGGGGCTGAGGGGGGCTCTAGCCCCTCCTGATGACCCCTACAACCTGGGCTTTATGCTGAAGTCATGGTAGCAGCCTGCACACGTCCTCCCCTGTACCCAGCTCCGAAGGCTCTGTAACTTCTTGTAGACCTGGGCAGGACCCCTATTTCTCTCACTCAGCTTCTCTGCCTTTGACCCTCTAGGTAGAATCTACCCTTAGAGGGAATGAGGCTGTGGATTAAAAGGACGCTGGCTGACCCAGGAGATGAACCAGTGACGTCCCAAACACAAGTGCTCAGGATGTCTTCCTCCGTCATCTCCGGCTCCCAGCTCTCAGGGGTGGGGAAGGGGCTGCCCTGAGAATGGGCAGGAGTGATTTCTGGAACTTTCTCAGAAGGCCAGAGGGAGGAAGGAGCAGAAACTCAAAGATGAGACGGGGGCACCCCTCTTAGCAGCCCCGCCACTCTGGCTATACTTTCCAGGCTGTGCATCAGGCCGCAGCTGATCCAGGACTGCCCCCCACCAGGAAGTGCCCAGTGCCCTTAAGGGCAGCAGTGGCAACAGCAGCCGCAGCCTGCCAGGTGGACTCTGGTTGTTTGGCTTTTGCCTGCAAAAAGCACTCTGGTGCCATGGCAACCACTGGAGCTGGCACCTGCCGCTGGAGCCTTCAAGGTCATGGTCATCCAGCATAGCCAGGCCCTCCATGGGCAGCAGCCTCGGGGGGTACCAGTGGGGGACACCGGCAAAAAAGGTGCCAGGCGTGGGGATGGTGCCAGGACTGGGCAAGTAGGGGCCCCTTAGGGTCATCCATGGGGTCAGGTGGTCACAGACACGACCTGTCTGGACTAAATAGCAGTGTCTCCACTCCCTGTTCCTCACTGAGTCACCTCTGGAACTGAGGGCAGAATTAACACTGTGAAGCCGGCTTTGTTTCTAGCGTCCTGGGCTTTGATGCTGCAGCCTTGGAGGCAGCCATGGCAGTGGTGAGTAGGGAATGGCTGGGACAGACCCCCTGCCCCCATCACCCTATGCCCCTAAAGCCCTGGACACCATCTGCATGGGAAGTAATTAGCAGCAGGCATCATCCCACTGCCACCTCTGAGAAAGCATTCTCACTCCCCTAGTCCTCCAGGGGAGTGAGCCGGTGTGGTGGCAGAGGGCACAACCCTGACCCCGAAGTCTGGGAGTTCCACCTTCACTCCTCCCACTGCCCCCCGGGCTAACCAGCACTCCTGCCCTCCTGGCTGAGCGCTGGGCCTTGGAGGCTCCCAAGTGTGATCCGGGCTTCACCCCCTTGGGCCCCTTCCAAGACCCTTAGCAAAGAGCTCTAGTTAAAGGATTCCTGGGCAGGTTCACCTTCCCAACGAGCTCTGCCCCTTGGTCTCTGCCCGAGCGGCACGGAGGGGACAAACTTGTGGCCCAGCTTTCCTGTTAATGACTACAGCACTCTGCTCCTGGTTTCTGCAACCACCTGGCCCCATCCTGCCTCTCATGGGACTGGGGGTGGGGCCCCAGGGCCTGCTCCTGTGTCTCCGCAGATGGAATAAGGCAGGCAAGACAAGAGGACTTGGGGAAGGGAAGAGGAACTCAGGACGGACAGAGAATGTGGGAGTGAGCCAGGCTGGGAGAGTCTTGAGGAGACTGGCAGAACCTGGTTTGTACGAGTGGAGGAGGCCGGGGCAGAGGGCTGAGGAGGGCAGAGGGGATAGACCATGGGAGGTGCAATGAGCAACTCTCCCTCGCGACCACCAGGGGGCAGGCGCCGCCGCCAGCTCCTCCTCCCACCTCTGCCAGCATCTTTTCCAAACATGGGGCCGGGAGGGCAAAGGAAAGGAGGTTCCAAGAACCTGGGCTGGGAAAACCAGCCGGCCAGCATCCAGGACACTCCCCAGACCAAATGGCTGGGCCCTTAATTCTTGGGCAGTCTCCATTCTACGCCCTCCCAACTTTGGGGTCCTAGAGTCAGCCACACCTACCCTCTCTCACCAGCACCCTCTCCAATCTAGAAATCCCTCCACAACTCAAGAGCCTGAGGACTGCCCGAGTTGGGACGTTCACGCTACTCTTTTTGTGGAGAAGGTGTTCCTCATGTCGAGCCAGCCTTGAGACCCATCCAGGAGTTCAAGTTCAGTGGCTCATGAGCTTTGTGAAATACTACACTTTGCCCCCCGGCGGCTTTGGGGAAAGCAATCTTGTCCTTTCTGTGCAACCCCCGCCTCCTCTTTCCTAGAGGAAACAACGCCTGGCCCTTCTGACTATTCCTCTAAGGACAGTGTCCACCAAGATCCCTCCTGTGCTCCTCCACGTGGAGTGCCAGCTTCTGGGCCCCTCCGCTGTAAGGACAGACTTCCCTAGTGAGGGGGTGAGGAAGGGCATGCTGCCCAGGGACTAGGTCTGTGTGGGGTACACTGGACCATCACCTCCCTTGTTGGGAACACAAGCCTCTATTAATCCAGCCCAAGTTCAACTCTTCCACAAGAACTGCCATTTGGTTTTGCTGTCCCTATTCCATACCGATGGGATTAATTTTTCACAAGAGTTGTTTCTCTAGACTGTGGTTAATGTGCATTTTGAGTGGCTTCAGACTGTCACCCAGCCCTTGCAGGGCTATTACTTCTCCTAATGTGATAACTAGGTCTGAAGTATTCACTCAAAGCATGTGTTCAGGCCGGGTGCGGTGGCTCATACCTGTAATCCCAGCACTTTGGGAGGCCAAAGCAGGTGGATCATGAGGTCAGGAGATCGAGACCAGCCTGGCCAACATAGTGAAACCCCTGTCTCTACTAAAAATACAAAAATTAGCTAGGTGTGGTGGTGGGTGCCTGTGGTCCCAGGTACTTGGGAGGCTCAGGCAGGAGAATCACTTGAACCTGGAAGGCAGAAGTCGCAGTAAGCCAAGATTGTGCCATTGCATTCTAGCTTAGTGAGACTCTGTCTCAAAAAGAAAACAAACAAAAAACAAAGCACGTGTCATGGATAGACAGCCCTGACCAGCATTATCATTAAAGTCCCTGCTTCATTAATTAGCATCATGGGAGCCTCTGATGGGCCTCAGGGTATACCTTTGTGAGTCCTTTTCTGAGAAAATGATGCACAGTTTCATTAGCGTCTCAAACGGCTCCTTCTCTGAATGCTAAGAACTCCGTAAAAGGTTTAATTTTGTTGTCAGATGAGGACAACGAGGCCCAAAGGAGAGACCTGGCCCCCACTCCCCAACCCCAGCTCTGTGGCCAGTTCTAGGAAGACCCTGAGCTTCCTGACTCCTATTACAGTGCTCTTACTACTGCCTTCTTTCTTAGGATCCGGGTGGGCTCACCTCCTCAAGGTAGGGGCATTCAGTGTGGGCTCTGTGGATGGCACCTGTCACTCACAGGCTTGGCCTGGGATCCCCTTGCCTTAAGCTGGTTCCTCCGAGGCCCCACGCCTGAAGCTCCCGCAGGCTGCCACCAGGGGACAGTGGTGCCCAGGCTGGTGGCATATTTAGGAATTCTGGACTTAGGCCAGCCTCCCTCCTCCCCTGCACAAGGGCCAGATTCTGAAATGATCTGTCTTTATTATGTCATCAGAAAACAAAAAAATCCCCCGAGTGTAAACAGGAGAAATGTGCTGGTTAAGTTACTCATCATTATCTTATTATTAACAAAATAAAGCACTATCTATGTTTACAGTCATAAAAAAAGAAACAGCCTGGAGAGAAGTGGGGGCGGCTCTGAGGCTGAGGATGAAGAGGAGACAGGGGCAGACACAGACTCCATATCTGGCCCTGTGGGATTTGGAGTTCCCATACTGATCCGAGGGCTGTTTAGTTAGGTGAAAATGGGATTTGATTTCCTTAGGAAACCAACTTGTGAAACTGATCAGAGGCTGAGATCCAGTCCCTGGTGTAGAGCGGGGGAGGGGAGGGCAGGCCGGTGAGAGGCAGGGCTGGGTGGGAGAGGCTGAAGCCCAGGAGTCTTCTCAATTTCTTCCAAGAATGGGGAGCCCCCCACCCCATGCTCATGAGGGAGGAATAAAGACTAGCTGCCATGGAGAGCCCCTCTCCAGGGCCTCTGACTCTGGCAGGAAGGGGAGCACCATCAATCCTCCTGTCCTGACTCCCTCGTGGGATCAGGTTGGGACCAGGGCTGGGGGCACCAGGACAAAGCCCCTTGGAATATGAGGCACATTCCCATGCTGATCAGAGCTAAAAATGGCTCTGTGGGAACCGACTGGCAGAGCCAGGGAGGGAGTAAAGGGGAGGGCAGGAGGAGGGCAGGAAGGCTGATGAGCCTAGGGCAGACCAGGGGCCTACACAGACCCAGAGAATCCAGAGGGCACAGGGGGCAAGGACAGACACCAAGAAGGAGAAACAATGAGGGCCTTGCAGAGAGACAAGGACGGAGAGAGACAGAAATGCACACAAGGACACACAGAACCTGAGACACCCAGACTGACAAAGAGGTAGCAATTTGGGGACAAAGAGAAGCACAGAAAGAGGCCCCCAGAGAAGCAGGAGTGGCATCGAGAGACACACCCACAGGAGCTCAGCAAACTACAGTGCCTGGCACATAGTGGGCACTCAATAAATATCTTGTGCAATGAATGAACAGATGAAAACACACACACGTGCACACGCACGCACACACACACACAGCAGCCAAAGGGACCATGGGCTTGGCAGAGATGAAGACAGCAAGGGACAGCCAGACCCTTTTGCACAAAGTGCAAAGCGATCCTGGTGAGTGATCTGGGGGAGTGTGGGAGGGCTGTTGGTCCCACAGTGGCTGGTCCAGCCAGGACAAGAATGGAAACAAAGCATGTGACCCCAGGGGAGACCGGTCTGTAGCTGCCATACCCCAGGTGGGTAGACCTGCAGGAGAGGAGGATCATACAGTGTTCCCTGGCCATGAGCCCTAAAGGCTGAGGTGCTCAGCCAGCTCAGCCCACAGCCACGCTGCAGTTCCTGCCCACCTAAGCCAACAGCTCCTCAGGAAAGGA